AATAAACCTATTTAGGATAATAATTGGATAAGAGAGCCTCTACCTTGTCAACGGATAGGGAGAGAACAAAATCTGGATAAATACCAATTCCTATTACTGGTAAAAAGATGCAGATTAAAATAAAGAGTTCTCGTGATCTAGAATCCACAAAATTTGCGTTTGGAACATTAAATAGCTGGTGTCTGCTGATTTTGTTCACAGTAATATAAGGTATAAACTTATGCTTGTTGACATAAATTTTTAGTTGCCCATTTAGTTATATCTAAAACCTATATTGAAGCTTGTGGTTATTTGAAAGCTTCCGGTAACAGACGTGTTGGTAATTTGAGCGAACGCCCTCCCGGTGTTCATGTCCAATCCAGGAAAAGGGAATAAAGCGGAATTATTGGCTTCACCTTCAAGGAAAACATAATCTTACAGGTTTGTTTAGATCAAACTTAAACTCTTTATTCAATCCGAGTGCAAAAACTTAAACAGATGTGGCAAAAACTTTGATAAACTCTCATCATATTTGAGGTGATGTTGATGCATCCTGCGGCGTCACTGCTTGGTAACGTTTCACCAAACGACGCAGGTTGATGAACGCTGATCCGCCCTCCCGGACGGCCTCTCTCGCCGTCGTCGCGAGCGCCGCCGCCCTCCCCCGCCTCTCCACCGCCTCGTCTCCTCCGCCCATGATGCTCCTCACCGCCTTCTCCACCGCCCCTCGCTCCACCACCGCCACCTCCCCGTCCTCCTCCTTCAACCACTCCACCCCAACGCTCACGCCGGTCCCCATCGACTGCACGGCCAACATTTCGTTCAGGAACTGGTGCGCCATATGCGGCCATGTCGCCACCGGGAGCCCCGCCGCGACCGCCTCCATCATCGAGTTCCACCCGCAGTGCGTCACGATGCCACCCACCGACGCGTGGGACAAGATTAGCTGCTGCGGTGCCCAGCCCTTGATCAGCAGGCCGCGGCCGGACAACCGGCCCTCCAGCTCCTCAAGGAACCTGCGGACCTCCTCGTCCTCGTCCTGCCCGGCGTTCTCCGGTGATACCACCCAGATGAACGGGTGCCCCGACGCCTCAAGGCCAAGCCCGGTCTCCACCACCTGCTCTGGGCGCGCGTGCACGACGCTGCTCCCGAAGCTGACGTAGACGACGGAGGACGGCTCCTTACCGTCGAGCCATCGGAGGCACTCGTCGGCGTCGACGGCGGGCGCGTTCCCTCTCGCCGCAAGCGCCGCCGAGTGCTGGTGCTCGTGCTGGTGGAACAGCGACACCGGACCGACGGCCCACACGTTGACGCTCCTGACCTCCCCGCTGTCCACGACCGTCCCCGGCTCCAGCTCGAGGAAGGTGTTGAGGAGGACGCCATCGACGTCGACGCACGCCCGCTCGACGGCGTATGCCAGCTTCTCGTACGCCAGCTTCTCAGACGCCGGCAGCCGCATGAACCCGGGGGGCGCGGTGGGCACCTTCACCTCGACCGGCTCCTCGGGCATGAGGTGCCAGTAGGGGTCCGCTGCGGCGTAGGCGTTGTGCATGGCCGCCGCGTGGTGCTCCGTCTGCAGGCAGAGGAGGCAGTAGGCGGACATGCCGAGGAAGCTGAGCCGCGGGACGCCGAGGCTCATGGCTAGGCCGGCGGTCCACGGGTGACAGATGTCGGACACGACGCACGTGACAGGCGGCGCATGCGCGCGGAGGTGGCGCTCCAGCGGCCCGCGAAGGCGCGACGCGGCTAGGAGGTAGGCGGCCTCCTGGTCCAGCGGGATCCGGTCGACGTCGTCGGTCCCGGCGAGGTCGAGCGGGAGCTCCACGAGCCGGACCGGCAGGCCCGACGACTCGACCGCGGGGCGGAGGCGCGCGGCGTAGGTCGGCGTGACGACGATGCTGGAGAGCGCGCCGTGGGTGGCTAGCTGCATCGCCGCGTCCACCGCCGGGATCAGGTGGCCGTGGTGCATCAGCGGGACGAAGACGAAGTGCGCCGTCGTCGTGGCCGCCACGTCGTCGGAGTTTGCTCTCCGGCAGGCCATCCTACTACTCCTAGAGCGCGACGGCGAGGCTACGACGGCGTGCCTTGGGCGTTGGAATGACGGTGTGCTGCTGGCCCGTCGTGGTAGAAGATGGCCGGGTTTGGGGTTGGGTTGCCACAGGTACATATACCTGCAGGCGGGGGCGGCGGCGGCGGCCATATCCTATTCCTATGTGATTCTGACCTGAGCTGCCTGACCTGACCTGAGTTCCCTGCTGTTATATGGCCCTAAAATGTTCAAGACTGTGACCAGGTCTTGGCTTTGGATGACATGCTTGTCCAGTGTCCAGGCTAGGCAAACAGCGATGGTACCAAGGCCGCCGTATCAGATCCATTGCTGGACCAAAACCAAGAAAACTACAACAGCACACGGTTGGTTGCCGGCTGTTAGACCAAGAGAAGAAGAACAAAGATGTGTCTAGTATCTTTTCTTACAAAAAATCCAATTCGATGCCCAGACTCATCTGCACCCGGTCAGAAAAAAATCAAAACAAATACTGAAAAAGTTCAAAAGAATCCAAATTTTTTTCGTGTGATAGAAAATTGTATGCGCGAGGTTCGCTCCAAATTTCAACTTATTTGGACATCTGAGCAGATCTGCTCGCTCGCTCGCACATGGCGTCTGGATCCACTTGTTCCGGTGGCTCTCGGAGTCGGAAGGGGCTCATCTCGTGCTTGTATAGCCTCAACTGCCGCCACGAGTATGCCCCTCTTCCCCACGACGACGATTTGCGCCAAGCCACGCGCAAGCTCATCGTCGGTTTCTACGACGAGGCGTTCCGCTGGCTCCGGCTGCCCTGCAAGGCCATGCCCGACCTTTACGACCTCCTCAGCATTGACGGCCTCTGCCTCGGCCCCCTCGACCCCGTCTCCAACATCATCCTGAACACCCTTGCCCTCCTCCCCACCACCACCCCCGACGTCGAGGCCAAGATGGAGTCCGATGAGACGGAATCCGATGATGAGAGCATGAGATCCGAGAGAAAGAGACACATACCCGGTTTCGACCCCTGGCACGAGGTTGCATGCCGGTCCAGCCACAGCCTCATGGCTTTCCTTGTGGCATACTTAGGATGCCTCAGCGAGGCACATGCCTTCCGCTACCTCTAGAGGGCCAACGCCAATCTCAACCTTGCCGTCATGCTCGTCCAGCACGACCTCTACCATGCCGGGCCGGAGGCACTGGACCCTGAATCCGACAGGACCAAGGCCGCCCTCGAGTGGGCAGCCACCAAAGCAGGCAACCGTTCGCCCGCCACGTTGGCTCAGGTCATGGCAATCCGGCTCAAACATGGCGACCTCCACCTCTTCAACAAGCATCTATTTTCGGCCAATGGCACCCCTCTCACGATCGAGGATGCCCAGGAAATCCACCATGTGCTGCACATGACCATGACCCCGATGTGTGTCGCCAACATTAGCAACACCAAAGATGGGTTGGTCGTCCATGTCCGTCACAACCTCGACGACGGCGCTATCTGGTCCGAGACAAAGCCCCTTGTCTCTTCTAGTGCAGCAGCTGATGCCAGGATCACCTCCACCGCCTTCCGCTGGGACGGGACCGCCATCTCGTCTCTGCAGTCTGGACTGCCTAGCAAGCTGCAAGCTTGCCTGACGATAGCAGATTTCCAGAAACACTTTCTCAAGGCGTACCGTAGCTTTATAGAAGGTAGAAGTCAATTACAAGAAAACTAGCACTTGCTGTGAACAACGAGCGTAGCACATGCCACACCTGAGAAAGACCAAAGACGGGCACGACCGCAAAGCAACCTACAACACCAAAGAGCCTATCCTAAGTTGATACACAACACCGCGTCACGACCGACGCCGATCACCTCCAAAGACCACAACTTCCGCAGAGCTTCTCTTATCGACGCACCATCCACTCTGAGCACCTAAGAGGAAGTGGCAAGTGGATGGCAGGACTCGATCCAATCCGAAGAGACGCCGTCTTGGACACCGACGACGGGCGTACATAGCTCCGTCGAGGATCAAGGAAGGACAGCGACGAGCACCGGAGAAGAACAACGAGGAAGCAACCATGTCTCCAAACACCATGCTCCCAATGGAGGAACGACGTCGAGGATGCTATCGTGGTGGCCGCCACGTCGTCCGAGTTTGCTCCCCGGCAGGCCATCCTAGCTCCAAAGATACTCAACTGTGAAATGTCGGCTTAAAATGGCAAAAGAAACAATGCTTGTTATGTTAAATCAATTGGTCGCCTACCGGCAGATGATCAGCCAGTTTAAGTCATATAAAAAATATCTTGAAAGGAACAACATATATGATCGAAAGAATGTCCTACATGTTTGCAACAAACAGAACATGAATGCAATATATTGACAGGGAATTATGCCAAATGTAAAACCATAAACACAAATGTACAAAACGAATCATAGAGCGCATGTACAAAAAAAAAAGAAAAAGTGCCAGCTACGGTACAATAATCATTTGCCCAGTTTGCACGTGTTCTTCCAGCACAATCATTTAGCTTGTTTTCATATCATACAAAAAAGAAAGATATAAGAATCTAATGGAGTACATGGTATTCAAGAAGACAGGTTACAGAATTCTGAAAGCACAATAAGAAACACCGTTTTATCCGATAGAAAACTGCAAAAGCGCAAACTAAAACAGGATGAAAGAGAGGTCATAAACAGCAGCATTAGCATACTTTTTGCATACAACGTGTGCACGCCCACGACTGCATTTTTTGCAACAGAAATGTCATGGTAACAAAACAGGCCACTGTACTGTGCATACAGAAGAACATATCTGATCTGAGGGTTGTCAACATCTTTCCATAATCGCTATACACACAGTATATATGATAGTAATACAAAGAAGAGAGATCAGTAACCGAGCAGGGTTGTGCCTGCTATACAAGGAAGGACTACAGATAGCAAACTTTAAACTGAACAAGAACCCCCTTCCTTAATCCCTCACGCACTGGTGTGCCCACCTCTAGAGAACATTGAGAACTAGTGTGTCCATCGCCAAAACGCAACCATCAGCACGACAGTGATGATCATGCCGCCGTACGCGATCCGCTTGTCGACCCGGTGCCGCTTCTCGATAAGCTTCAAGACCGAGTTTGACAGGCCAACAGTGTTCAGGACATCCAGGGCCTTCCTTTGCGCACTCTGCAATCAAGTGCAAGGAGATGTTACTTCTACTACTAGCAGGCAGGCAAATTCCTTCACCATGCCAACAAAGGCCAGCAAGATTCATTCATATCTTCTGGGTGCTGTGCGAGTTGGACTGATTCGTTTACCTTCAGACGATCCCTCTGGTCAGAGTACTTGTGGAGGATGGCCACTCCTGTCTCAAAGGCTTCGTCAAGCATTCGAGAGGAGCTACGGGCCGATTGCATTGCCTGGGCTTCGTCGTCGAATATTTGAAGGACATGCGATGACTCACCATTCTGCAACAGTAATTTCCAATTCATTAAACGAGATTATCCTGCAGGAAAAACAACTGCTCATGCTTTGTTTGCTTCAAGACTACTTACAGCTCTCTCAAATAGCTCCGCCCTTTCCTTGGCTTCCAAAATCCGCTTTCGTTGCCGCAATGAGTGCTTGTCGAGGGTTTCCTTCAATGACTCGACCTCTTCAGATAGCTGCTCCACTTTTCTGCCAGGGCAGCATCAAACAATGTTAAAAACTTGGAACAGCAACCTACATAACTCCTATTCAGCTCTTCCTTTCAATTGTGCACACTGTCAAAATTATATATGCAACAGGGGAAAAAATCACAACAGAGTGCATACCCTAGAGCAATTCTCGGGAGTTGCTCTAGCAGCCACAAATATCACTTTTATACATAACTCCATTTCCACAAAACAGATAAAGGAAACATAGATAGCATCCTCAAACAACAGGATGAACCAAGCATGGGCGTCTAACTATCTCAGGTTGACACATGGCCTAAAATTCCAAATTGACCACACATGTAGAGTGACACGAGTTTCAGATCTAAGCTGGTGAATTCCAGAGAAAGATTAACACGAGAAGAAAATACATGTATTTAGTAGTTTAGTACTTCTGCAACTGTGAATCCTTACAATAAACGGAAGGGAATTAGAGAAATTGCCATCTGAAGAGCAAGAAAACAATCCAATCTAATGTGTACCTCCTACAGATTAAAGCAATGTAGGTAAAGCACTCCCTCTCACATGCATATCAAGATAGCACTATTTGGTACGAGCTGAGGGCAAAATCAAGGTTCAAAGGTGTACTACCCTCTATACCTGGCCGTAGGATTTCTACTGCACCCAGAAGGTGGATGGATAAATCAATTAACCAAGAACTACTCATAAGTTAGATCAGAAGCAACAAATGAGATTATAACTTTCTGTATGCTATTTTGGTTATGCCAATTCCTCTGAAGCAAGGCTAGTTTTCAATATGAACTATCAAGTTCCCACATCAAAATATTCCTGCTTGCTGACTAAATTCTGAAGTGTAATAATACTCGGAGTAATTTATTGCTTGTGTGTGGTGGGTACTGGGTACTTGAATTAAAACACTATGACCCTGGTTAAGTCTAGAAAGATTTGTATATGCCAACCTACATACAAAGCATAACTAACATCACGAAAAGCTGAATTAGGAATTCTTATAATTGAGGGTGTACTGAACAACCTAATGAAAAGCCAAGGGAAAGATACGGCATGGCAAGAAAACTGATTTCCACTTAACAACCTAATTTCCACTTCGTCAAAGCATAATTGTCAAAGCTAAACAAGTTCAAACAGGCATACTGAACAGCCTAATTTCCACTTTGTCAAAGCATAATTGAAGCCTACCAAGTTGAGCACATTGAACGGCCTAACTTCCATATCTATCCTCAATAGCATAACTGAAGGAAGCCTACCAGGTTGGGCACATCGAACAACCTAACTTGCAGTTCCTGAAAAGCATAATGGAGGCCTACCTAGTACAAAGTAGCAGTACACAAGTTGAAAACATGGCACAGATTACACCATTGACGCAAAATCCATGCTCAAGTAACCGAACTAGCAATATTCGCCTTAAGAGACCACAATAACGACAGAATGCATAAGCTAGAGCTGTGATGTACGCCCGCCGCGCCAACAACTCATCGGCAGTCGGAGATGTCTCTCCGCCATCATCGCCAATTCACGCGGCGCACAGGAGGAACTCGTGACGGAGCAGCTAAATGGGGCCAACAACTCATCGGCAGTCGGAGATCTCTCCCCGCCTCGTCGCCGATTCGCGCGGCACACAGAAGGAACTCGTGACGGAGCAGCTAAATGGGGCTAAGTAAGGCCCTGAGAAGAAGAGGAGGGAGAGGAAGAGGAGGAGGAGGAGTGTCGCTCACCTCTTCCAGAGGTCGCGCTGGCCCTTGGCGGGGATGGAGCGCCAGAGGCGGTCCATCTGCGCGCAGAGGCCCTGGATCTGCGCCACCTCCCTGCGCACGGCCTCGGCGCCCGCCGGGTCCGGCGCGCCGACGAGCGGCGCCGAGGCGGAGTAGGAGGAGGAGGCGGGCGCCGAGGCGAGCCGCTCCACGCGGGCCACGCCGTCGCGGGCCGACAGCAGCAGCCGCCGCGCGCTCTGGTACATCTCCGACAGCGTCGCGCCCCCCGCCCCGCCGGAGAAATCCATCGCCGCCACGGTCGAGATCGATCGGTCGATCGAGGAGGGAGAGAGGGGAGGATTTCCTTCGGGCCGAGCGAGGCGTTGTGACGTGGCCGGTAGCGGGTGCTGGCCGCTTGATCGGGCACGGACGGCGCGATCGATGCCGCGTGGGCCCTCGCCGTGCAGCCTACTTTCCTTCCTTCCTTCCCCCCCAAGGCTCCAAATTGGAAGGAACACCCACTCACACATTCCCACAAGTCTATTAGCCTCGCTGATAAAATGTCCATAAGCTGAACGACTGAGTGGTTGGTCTGACAGAGCACTGATTGCCACGAAACATTATCGTATTTCATCATGATCGGCATGTCGAACCATCTGATGGTGCAATCTGGAACAATCACCATGATTGCAATCTGATGGTATTCCAAGATCAAGGGATGCGGTCTTAAAGCGGTGGATCTAGCGTTCTGTATTGACTTCGTTGGCGGCAAACCACGAGTTTGAGGCTAGAAGGGCAGTGGCGGAGGTAAGGGGTGGACAGGGTGGGCCATGGCCCACCCTGAGATCTGGAAATAGCCTCTATAGTACTGTAGCAGGAAGACCAAAAAATAGAAGAAAAAATAAATGTATATGTAAATTGCACTATTGGCCACCCTGGCCCAGTGGGCTAGGTCCGCCATTGTAGAAGTGTACGCAGACGAACTCCGATCGATGCACCACCCTAATGATGGCACCACCAATGGTAATCCTCTTCATCGGGTCACAAAAGCCCCTTTGGGAGATGGTACTCCTTCATGTTCGACGAAGGTGAGTCGTGTTGGTAGTGATGAGGTTTGGTTCACCTTTCAACCCCTCATATGTTTATTATTGTGCCGAATGCACTATAGCCGACCACATAAAAAAAGGTTGTTAGAAATTAAGAAGACGCGTCCAAAAGGGAAAAGTCAGATCGATGCACAATTATCATTAGATTAAGGGGAACCACAAAAGAAACCAAGTATTCATTGTACATCCTAGTATTTTGGTTGATATCCTTTAAGTGTGAGTGGTTACGAAGATATGGACACGCACTATTTGTACTACATTTGACATAACACATGTTTTACTTTGCTAGTAAAAGAAAGGTGAAATCTTTTAGGACGGGCAGCTGATTGATTTTTCTTTTTTGGTGTAAGTCACTTTTTATGGGCCGACATATCTTCATCCAACGATCAATATCAATGTTGCCAATGCTCATTTTGTTCTTCCCGTGTTGCCTCCCTACCCAGCCCCATCTGTCGGCCACCAACGCATGCGTCGTGCTGCCCTCCCTCCCACCACCCAAGGCTAGCCCCTTAAGCCCCAGCCCGCATGTTCTGGCACAAGCAACCATCGCATCGCCATCCGCATATGTTAACCTATTTCCTCGCCTCCGTCTCAGACGCTACATCTCGCCACTGCTCGTAGTGCCATCCCCGTCTCTGAAGATTTCCTGGCTCGGCCTTGCCGTTAACGTCGCGGCTCACTACCGTTCTCAACATCGTCGTCGGCTCACTACCGTCCTCAACGTCGTCGCCGGCTCTGGCTTCGAGCTCCACCATGCCCCTCCTCCTTCCTTCACACGTGAAATCGACTTACACGAATAATAATAATTTTTTTTTCAAATGACTTGCATTTGCATATAGCCGGTGCGAAATTTTGTTCCAAAGTGTAGGGGCATTTCGGGAAACATCTTTGCCCCCAAAATATAACACCAAAGCGACGGGGCTGCTCTGCTCTCCTCATCGTCCTCTCCTCTCCCCTGCCGCCGCCGCGCCCCGCTTTCCCCACCGCGCTCCGCAAACCCTACCCCTCCCCCCCCGCCCGCCGCCCGCCGCCGCCGCCGCGTCGCCATGAGGTACCCCTCTATCATTCTCCTTCTACCCGAATCACGCGCCGGTGTTTTCCCCCCTTTCGACGTCGTCCCCGCCCAATGCGGCGCGGGGCTGGGGCGGGGCGGTTCGTTTCGCTCCGGCAGCTTCTGTCCTCTGCCCCAAATCGGGACGGAATCCGACCGCCTCCTGGTCCGTCAAATTCGCGCCGAACCCCCTTGGAGTCACGGGCTGTAGGGCGTTTACGATTTTTGGGGCTTGGTTGATCGTGTGCATACATGCAGAGTAGATCGATCGGATGTTGGAAGTGGCCGTAGGGTCGGAGGCCGTCCATGGATTCCTCCACCAGCGCTAGGTGTTGTCTGGGGGGCGTCATATTCAGCGAGCATTGGTCGTGGAAGCGCCTGAAACGGATTCAGCACACATCCAGTTCTCTTGTGCTCTGGTCACTGCACTGTTTAGTCGTTTCAGTACAAAGATAAGCTGTTTCATTGATGTTGAAGAAGATGTCTGCCAGTCTATTGCTGCACGCTCTTACATTGAAATGGTTGCCGGTTTTAGTGTAGCATGTGGGCGTCTGTTGAACACGCCGGGGGTGTGCCTAGGATATATATTAATCTGGTCCTTTGTTAATTAGTTTCATCGCCTTTCGCTTGCACTCCCACAGCGTTTCTTAACTCATCTTTTGCAGTGACACCGGGGAAGAATTGTTTAGACTAGGCGTGCATTATTATATCATGTAGTATACCTTAATGATTTGACTACAGCACTATTTGAGCCTTACCGGTTAGTATGAGTTGCATTTTCAATTATGTTCTTGTTAGACTGATACACTCTGTTGTGACAGCCAATCTGTTATTTCTGACTAAGAAATGTTCGGCCAAATCACCTCTTTAGAATATATTACACTGAAGTATGCAAAAGAAAGATAATGCGCCTCCCGTGATACTTATTTTTGGGCATTGTTTATGTTTTTTTTTGCTGCAAGTTAGTGACTAGGTGCTCTGGTTACTCCACTGTTTAGTCGTTTCAGCACAAAAATCAGCTGTTTCATTGATGTTGAAAAAAAAGCCTGTCGTCTATTTCTGCACACTGTTACATTGAAATAGTTGCCAGTTTCAGTGTAGCATGTGGCCGGGCGTCTGTTGAACACGCCGGAGGTGCGCCTAGGATATCAATCTGGTTATCGTTAAGTAGTATGACCGTCGCTTGCAGTACCCCACAATGTTTCTCATCTTTTCCAGTAACAGGGGG